TTTATAATGCAGGGTGAAATACTGTTGTGGTGTATGTAGCTGACATTGTGTTTGAAGTGTGTCAGTTTAGAAATCACACACTTTGACATTTAATTCTGTTAGGCCAATGACTCATTAGATCATTAAAGAAAATAGTCTTTTATGGCAAGCCACAGAACATTACTAGGTCTCGGTCAAAATTTCTTCTAAAAGGGTCAGTTCAACCAACTTACACAAGAAAAAAAAAAAAACATAATTCCTTCCTGATCTAAACATGCAGAAAGTTAAATGGCTAACAGGGCATTTTAACGATACATTCTGATAAGTTAGTTTTCAATTAATGAAAATATTTGATTGACTGACTGAATTTATTGCCTATACAATAAATCACAGCAACAGGGACAACAAATACATAGCATTATTAGTAAGTAAACAGACATAAGTAAGATTTTAAAAAATTATTCAAGGGCAGGTCAGAGATTATTGGGATATTTCTTATATTGTTTACATTAATGATTTTCTACTGAAAGACTGGCTTTAGTACTTCACTCCTCTGACTATTAGATTAAAGATATATTGAAAATAGTGAAATGCAGAGAGAGTCCAGGTTTAACAGTTCAGAGACTTAAAAAAAAAAAAAAAAAAAGATTTCTGGGGGCATTTGTTGCCTTTATTGGATAGTGACAGGTGAAGAGGTAGACAGAAAATGGGGAGAGAGAGGGGTATAACACACAACAGTGATCAATGGCTGGAACCAAACTGGCGACTGGTGAGACTGTTACGACCATGTGGCATGCGCTGTAACTATCCAGCTACCAAGGCCCTCCAGCTCAGACACTTTCAAGCGAGGTCATCAAAGAGGGCCGATGTGTTACAAGCATTTCATTAAAATAAAATAAAAAGACAAAATACAAATAGTCCATTACTGGGTTAATATGGGAGTGTGTTTCTTTGTGTGTGTGCACATGTGTGCTGCTTTCTGGGTGTTGACAGATCCAGCTTGCAGCGTTGGCAACTCAGTCTGAAAGCTTTCAGACAGGAGGACAAGGGCTGGCTGCTGGATGGTGTCTGTGCCAGTGTGTATGTGAGGACATGAACTTATGAACTTCCTGTCTGTTTCAGCATGATAGGGATACAGAGAGAAAGAAACTAGAGAGATGTGAATGATTCAAGTTATTTGCTGATGCCACAGTAGGCTTTTAATTATGTAAAGTTGAATTGAATTTTTAAGTATTTTTGTTAAAATTGGAAAAATACACTTGATTTACAAATAATAAGAAATAATAAATAAACAGACAAGGAGAAAACATTTCATTGGTCACAGTGGAAATAAATAATAGTGGTAATTGTGGTCCAAGAAGAACTACAGACAAAACAAAAAGCTACCTGAATTTCAAATTTGGCGGTGTGTTAGGACTGTGCGATATATCCCAATAACGATATATATGCCAGAATAGAACATTTTTAGTTAATTCAATGAAATATGGCATTTCCAACTGGAACTCAGGATATTTATCTGCATTATAAAGGTGGGGTAAATCCAACACCTTGAAAAATACCATGATAGAGTGAACAATGACACAGCAAGTAATGTAACTAATGTTAGCTAGGTTGTGGATTAGCAAACTGACGCTTCTTTCTGCTGCAAAGCTATCACGAGAGGACGAGACGGTCCCAGAGAAACACAGCAGCTCCAGACAGCAGCACTCACTGCTCTCCTGCTGCTACAGCTAACACCACAACAACAGCATGTCTTGGTGAACTAGAAAGTAAGCTGTATGTCCCTGGGCAAGACATTTAACGTTACCTGACTGACACACATCATGGCTGGAACTGCTGGATAGTGTTTTGTGGCTCGCCCAATATATTTAATGCAATTTGTTCTCCGCAACACTGGCACATGTGGAAGAACGGACCACGTGAAGTTAGTTTAAAGTTGGATATTTATTTTATCTATGACATTCAATAGATGTCGAATACCAAAGTAAAACTAACTTCACCGCGGTGCATAGCGCCGTTCCCTCACCAAAATATTACGGTAAAGTGTGGAATTTCCGACCAAAGGATATAAACTATAGAGCATAATTGTCAACGATAGATGTTTTTCTATCGTCAAACGACAGATGTCGTCATATCGCACAGCCCTACCGTGTGGATGTCCAAAAACAGTGGTGTGTCAAAGATATCCAGTTCGCCCAGAGTGAATCATGCGGCGCAGCATAACATGGCTTCGTGTGCATGTTTGTGTGTGTACATATATGGTTGTGTGTGAATTCTGTCACATGCCATAGTGTGTGTGTGTGTGTGTGTGTGTGTGTGTGTGTGTGTGTGTGTGTGTGTGTGTGTGTGTGTGTGTGTGTGTGTTTGTTGCACAAGGAGAGGGGAGAGGTGCACGAAAGCACAGCTGATTAATAGTCGGCTGGCGATGGAGGCAGGTTCTAGTCCTCTGAAGCACGGGCATTGGGAAAGTAGGAGAGAAGAGAAATAATGGGGAGAAAAGGGAAGTACAGTAAAAAAAAAAAATGGCGATGACAGCAATCAAAAGGAAGGGGAAAAAAGAGGGAAAAAAGAGGGAAAAAGTTTTAAAAGTGCATCAACAGAAAGAGAAATTAAGAGGAAAAAGGAAATAAGAGCATGAATATAATTATGCAGAGGGACAAGAAGAAAAAAGTAGAATGAAGGGAAGAGATAAGGGGGGAAAGGGAAGAAATCAGGTTAGTAAAGCTGTCACAAAATCAACTGAAACTCATCTAACCAATGTCAAATACTTGACTTACATGAGAAAAAGAAGATTTATCTTATTCCGAGGGCTATACACCAGAAATGAATAATGCTCATCATATACTTATGTGCCATGCAGACACGTTTCATGCATTGGTGGCATGCAGTGTCTCACCACATACAGTACACACTCACACATACACACATCTGCATTTGCTCTGTCAGGATTCAGCTTGCGCTCTCAATTCTCTGACCCAGTTACTACTTATACCGCCTGTGTGCTCTCCCTGGGGTCTGCTGCAATAACAGTGATGAATGAATCCAATGCTCCTCGACAAGGCCAGATGCTCTTTCTACTAAAGTAGGCCCACTGGGGGGAAAAAATTATCACACCTCACACTGTACTCCTCTATTACTGTCGATCTAATGACCGTTATAGTGTTAGAAACGAGAGACAGACTTTAACCAAAACTTAAGCATCCTTCCAACAGTTTTTCTCTGTATTAGAAATACACACATGCACAAATTCATGCAAACAGCCAGACAGCTAAGCAGTGAACATGCCGACACAGATGTCTGATTTACATGCTGATCCCTCCTTCCACTGTCACCAACATCCATCTAAACGAGGCTTCAATGGAACATACACAGTAGATAAAATACGGCAGTGAGCAGGTTTGACAGCTCTATTCTTCCCAAATAGAGATATAGCTTCACCAAGTGCAGCACCTTAGCAGACAATTATTACATTATGTATTTAATAAAGAAATGAGTGAGAGACCAGTTACTCCGTCACCTACACTATGGTAACATGACACCTCATTAATGTCATCATCACTGCCTTTTCTCTAATCTTAACCAAGCAGGAAGTCATCTCAATCAACAAATATAGCTGCAATGATCGTGGATCCGAGCAAGTCGTGAAAAATACATCATTTGACATTTTCAGAGGAGAAGACAAGACACCGATGACTTCAGAGATTAAAGTGATTAAAGAATTTGGACTTGAAGCCAACCTTTTTTAAAGATAATTGTGGAAACGCAAACTTGATTATTACAGCGTCACCTTGAGATCAGAGAGCATATAGTAAGTATATGTACCCGACTACTGGGTGAAATGTTCAACCCACCAGCAAAATTGCGTGTTTCCAGGTTTTAAGGTTTTTGCTGCACAAACACTTATTAGCACAGAAAAATAATAAGAAAGTGTCACGGGATCCAAGTACAATAGGAAAACTTTGACTCACTATGATCTGAACACACCCATAGTCGGCAAGTCAGACTTGGTCACCTGGGGATTTGAACCCTGGAACTTCAGTTCCCTAGAGTAGATGACCAACTGACTGAGCTACTGGTGAGAAATTGTTTCCACACACCTTCTCACAAGTTGAGGCAGTGACTACACATGTGCCAGACTCGGATATTTTTGTCAGTTTAAACTTAAAACACTTACAGTCAATATGTTGGTGAGAAAATTCTGGGAAAAAATATCATTCTGCTAGTTTTGGGTGTGTTTTCAATTATTTTGATGTCATTTGATCCAACACTGAGCAATCAATAAAATGTTGTGCATACTGTACAAGTTACAGCAAGATACTGAATATCACTGTTTGACTGATTTAAAAACTTTTGAAACACCTGCAGTGTTTCCCCTTCCATTGTTTAGTGGGGGTGGTACTTAAGTACAGTCAATACATTGAAAATACATAGTTATTCTTATTCTATTATGATACTATACTGATTTATGTTAAAAAATCATTCAAACTTCAAAGACAAAAATTCATTATTTATGTAATGCTGTTAGTGTTTCATAGGTCTGTGTGTTATGATTGACAATGTGTGCTTTCTAAGTGAGAGTTGTTGCCAGTGTTATGGTATTGTATGGTTTTGTAGGTGAGATTAACAGTTTGTTGGTAATGCAAATGTATGAAGAGTGGCTTCAGTTTTGACCTTTGCATATTAGCAATTGAAAAAAAACTGTTTATGTTTAATGTTCCCTAGGAAATTCCTATTTAGCATTAATATTATATCTTATCCTCTTCAGCTCAACTACTCAGACTGAAAAAAAGAAAGAGCCACAGCCTTGTACTCTGAGAGCAATCAGAGCAGTTCACATCCTGCTCTGAAAGGCAACTAATAATACTAAGGGCACACACAAACACACACAATCGAGCTGAGGGGAAGAACAAGAAGAAAGCAAACCAAGGTCGAAAGACAAGAAAAGACAGGTCTGGATGAGGATGACCTTGTGGCCTTAGCAGACTGATTAACGGCAGAGGGAATTGTGGGATATTTCTTACCAGGCTTTTGCACCCCATGAGCTTCCTGCTCTCCATTCTCCAACGTAGTACCCATGTCTGCACACACATACACACACACACACACAAAAACAAGCAAACGCATTACTTCCATCTGAGTGCTAATGACTTGACGGGCCAAAAAAATCAAACTGCATCATATTGGTTTGTACAGCAGAAATATGACAGACTGAGCCTGGTATTAAATGGAAACCACTGACCCTGACTTTTAAGGCTTTTTAAAGGGCACCTCACTGTAGTCACTGAGCATTAGGTGTGTGTGTGTCGTCTGCCTGTGAATGTGCCTGTTAAAAGCACACAGGCCTGTTGTGGTCACGCTGGGGCAAGCAGAGGACAGCACATATTGACTGGTGTCAGTGTGAGATGCTGAAGGAGGTGATACTGTGTGACATCAGACTGATGAATCACTGCACATTACTGACTCAAACGAACACATTTATAGACGTGCACATACACCACAAAGATTTTGGTAAATTGACTGCTTCGCAATTTGTTCCTCATTCACCTATACACTCTCCACACACAGATGGCAGTGAGCTACCATGCCAGATGCTGGTCTAACCATTGGAAGCCATTTGGGCTTTGCTGTCTTTCTCAAATACACTTCAACAAGCCAGGGACTGAACCACTAACCCTACAATTAGTGGACAACCTGATCTACCTCTACTGGTGAGCCACAAAGGGGCCTAAATCTTTTTTTCTTATCCATTTACTTTTAATGGACACGTGTAATACATTTTACACTTTCTGTGAATATAATCCAATTAATCTGATTTCCATACTGTATAGACACCTTATTTTGAAAACCAAATGTTGTCACATGTGTATCCTCACGCTAAATTCATCAAGTCCGACCCAGTTTAAATAATGTTGTATGTGTTTCTCGTATCGCGTAACATGAAGACTTGACAGCCTCTCTTCAGGTAGGAGTCCCATACTTCAACACCTGTCTTTGTAAAGAGAGAAACTGTCAGGATAAAGTCTCTAACCTGCCTGTCAGCTCACACTGGTTCATTTCAGTAGATTTACCATATAGGCTTGAATACATGTGCACTCCAAATGTAGGTGCGGCTAGCTTAATCGCCTTCTCAGAAACGAGTGACAGGAACACTCAAAGTGGTTCAGACCGTTTGTTGCCTTTTCTAAGAAGTCAGCCACAGATGGAGTGGATGTGCTAGGAGACAATTCAGCAGAACGGTGTCTGCAAACAGCGAGTTTTGCGTCTTTCTCAGACACTTTAAAAGGTTTCCACACTGCCGACATGTCAAAATGTAACGTTAATTGTTTGGTAAAATTTCTTCGGTCTTTTGACTTATTAGGCCAAACACCGAAAGTGCTTTTTTTTTCTATTTTCGGCAAATTAATTTCGGGGGCTGAACATTCTGTGCATCCCTAATTGCTGACATCCATGTTTGCTTGATAGCAGTCTTATTCCTTACTGGAAAAGTACAGTCAAAAAAAAAAAACGAGAAGAAAAAAAAAAATCTGCAGACATGAAGAAAAAAAAGGAATGTCTGATAAGTTCCATTTGACCAAAATGATGCACTTTTACTGAGCTACTTACCAGTGAGTGCATCCGTGTGCGCAACTCATGGGTAGCTATAATCACCAGGTATGTCTGCTCTTAGTGTGGTAAAGTATGTGGACACATAGTGGTGCAAAACTAATTTCTTCTTTCTCTAAAATAATTAATATAGTGAGCAAAGTGATTCTACTGATCTATGAAAAAAGCCTCTCTTGTTCTTTATTGCTTGTTACTTTATTGTAAACTCTGTACTTTGTGAGCCAATTGATCAGTCATTAACCTGCTCTGGAGACGTTTAGCCGTGCAGCATATGCTACCATGGTGATCTAACCAGGTTAAAAGTGAGCAGGCTTTGTACAAACAAAGCTACTATGCCTAAAGACAGCTAGTAAACCAACTAATCCTACTTTGTGATACAAGTCACAGGACCATTTCTCTCTTTCACACACACAAACTAATAAAAATGCCATTCTGCAGTCAATACATGCGTATGTACAGTACACACACACACAACCCGTAGGCATGCAAACACCTAAAAGCACATGCAAAAACACACATACACACAAGGTATGACTATTATGTGTACAGTCTCATCAAACACACATCGGTCAGTACGGGGGCACATTACGTGTGCATCAGGGCACCTAACCAACAACTCTGGTGAAAAAAAACAAACTGTGCTTCCTCCATCTAGCTCTCCTGCTGACAGAGGACAATACTTTGTGGACTGCCTCGCCCTGCTGTTTGGCACTCGATGCGTCAGCATATCTGCGTTGGTCTAAATGCACACAGCATGCCACAGTTGATCACTGGCAACACCGCCCTGCAGCCGTCTGTCAGTGACTTCAGCCATTTCTCCTCTGTGGAACCAGATGAACACTAAGAAGAGACAATGTGTACCTGTGTGTATTTAAGTTTATTTACAGCACGTGTACCTGTGTTTATGGGGATTTCCCACTTTATCTGTTTTTCAGGTCTTTACAAGTTAGCCACACTAAAAGCAAGCATTTGGTATCCCATACTCATGGGAATAACCAAGTAACGTCATGTGTAATATAAATGACCTTAATCCCCCCATTACATGCCAGGGACTTTTTATGTTTTTAGGAGTCCTTAAAAGCTTCTCTAAAGCCCAAGTGCAGCATTTGCACTTTTAAGCACCTATTGTGTCTGAAAGTTTTCTTCTCTCAAGTTGACTCAACAACAACCAGTTATGGGAAAGAAAGAAGTGCAAGGAATCTTGGGAGTTTCAGGCTTCCGCAGCAAAGAAGCCCAGGGACGAGTAATAGTGCAGGAAACTTTCCAGGTCCTTTTGGATCAGCCAGAGCAAGCTGGTGTGCCACTATCCACACTCAAAGTACCCTGTGGCTCCAGCAGCATCACTTACCCTCACACACCAAGTGGCCTCCAGTATGTAAGGTAAGACAATTAATGTGTTAAAGGCAGGATACCGACACTACCCGCATCATGCGGAGATATGCCTATTCTACTTTTACTTAAGGCAGACTACTTGCTGTATGGTAACTGATTTATGTTTGGCATTCTTTAGTGTTCAGTTAGAGATCATCTAACTGAGCATCTAACTAACATGGCATTTGCATCCACCTAAAGTTTCAAGCACAGTCCTCACATCTTCAACCAAGTTTTAAAGGATGATTTAGATGAAGCAAGCGAATGAATCTCTAAAACATGTCATGTTTTTCAAAATGATCTGTTCTGATTGTGGAGAAGTACCCTAAATGACTCCATTGTTGTGCTGCAAACACAAAGCAGACAAACTTCAGGTTTGCTTTACATGGATTACCTCAGGGGGAAGCAGTTTTAACACCATTAAGGAGCTGCTTCAGTAGCCTGTGCACTTGCAGTACCAAATTATGATTATCCCACAGGAGCAACCAAGCTACAGGAGTGTAGGAAGTCGAAAGTAGCCTCTTTCATATTATTCATCAGTAGAGAAAGGGTTTCCCACTTGTTACTAGGTGTTATCAGTCTGATGTATAAAAATTCTTCATGTAACCTTAATCTGCGATTCTATTGTCACACAAATTAACTAATCTTGTTTCTTTTTGTTCTCACAGCACAGTATCACCAAGCGTGCACTCTTTTGTTACAATTTCCTGATGTAAACATGAAGGAACAACACCAAACTCCAGCTGATTTTGTTCCACCTCCAGATTAAAGTGAGTGATATGATTGTGAATAATTGTGCTCCTGACTCAGATGTGGAAGTAAAGCTTCTGATTCAAGCCGATCTAATGCTTTTTGTCTATTGTTTTTGTTATAGGGGACCTACCACAAAGCAGGATGTACAATAATTCAGGCTACAGATGCAGGTCAAATGATTCTGACTGATTCTAAATATTTACACAGTCGTTACAGTCATTAGACTGAACGACCATCGTTGGTATCTTCACCTGAGGCCAATAGGTTACGTTTGTTGAGTTTCCTGGGAAGTGATGAAAGGACAGCATTGTAAGTGGCTTCCTTGACACCTCTTTCAAACCATCCATCTTCTCTGTCTAAAATGTGCACCTGGTGGTCCTCAAACGAGTGTCCTCTGTCCTTCAGATGTAAGTAGACTGCAGAGTCTTGACCTGAGGAGTTGGCCCTTCTGTGTTGAGCCATGCGTTTGTGTAGTGGTTGTTTAGTCTCCCCAATATACAGGTCTGTGCATTCCTCACTGCATTGGAACGCATACACTAGATTGCGTTTGACCTTCTTTTCAAACGCAACAACATACTTACAATGCTGTCCTTTCATCACTTCCCAGGAAACTCAACAAACGTAACCTATTGGCCTCAGGTGAAGATACCAACGATGGTCGTTCAGTCTTGGCCTCGAGTAGTCCTAATGACTGTAACGACTGTCGTTACAGCAACCAGGAGACTAACGAACCAGCGGTATCGACGATCCTGGCAAACGACCCCACTGAGGTTAAATAGCTGAGTTTCCCTACCAGTCAGTCAGAACTGAAGAAGTCCTATGGATGAGGGATGAAACATCTTCCAGTATCTTCAACCAAGTCCAGTTGCCCTTGACTTTAACCTTCACTGGATAATAATCAAAGTAGCCCCAATCACTTCTCCTTTCCGGAAAACATTCATGACTTGCTAACCCTCCTGTTTTTCACTGCCCTCTCCCGGTTTCCTCCCGGCTCACAGCAGTTTAATGTTACGGTAGGTGGGTGTTACTGGCTACGCTACTAACAAAAGTGATTGTAGATTTATTTCTGAAACAATGTTGCAGTTCTAGCGAACGGTCCCACCATTTCTCCCTAGTACATCAGTTCTTAATATTCTCTAAAATCACTTACAGCAGCTATGCTGCCCGTTTAGCCACAAAGCTAATGCCATGTTTATCAGGAGCTCTAACGGTAATAAACCACTAAACTATAGTTTCTGATGTATTCTAAATATATCTGCGAGCCGACTTTTATAGTCGGCGTGACGGAAATGATCAACAACATAAACATAACACAGCTTCCTGCCAGGCAAAGTTATCTAGCTCCTCTTTGTGTGACACTGTAGATGTGAAACGGCTGTGGTTGTAGTTATAGTTAAATGAAATCTCAAAGTTGCAGGTCCTCGTTGTAGACAGTCATGTAGTATTAGATGCATTCAACTAGGGCTGAAATGATTCATCGATTAAATCGATTTATTTGATTACTAACAAGCTTTGACGCAAATTCTTTGCATCGATGCTTGACCCCAAAATGTAGTGGAGTAGATATACAAAGTAGCATAAACTAAAGTATGCAAACTATATAGCGCACTGTTTCGCACAGACATTTATTACTGTCACACTTCGCACTTACGCTGTGTGAACACAACGTGTTTATGATGGCGCTGTTTGCAAAGTGGAGGAAGAGAGAAAAATAGTGAGGCACGAAGAAGAAAGTGTCCAAAGTATGGGATTATTTCAAGCTAAAGGAAAACAATGACTCTGTAATGTAACAGTCTGTGCACCGTAAAACAAAACTTATGTGGGCTTCCACAACAGCACGACGGCACCTGATCAGAAAGTTATGCTGTAGATTTCATATCATGATTGGTGTAAAGAGTGGGGTATAGTTTGTCATTCAACTGCATTATTCTCTACAGTATGATAATATATATAATAATATATAACATACATGACACTAGCCAGTAATGGTTTAAGATGAGATCTGCTGTCATTCAGGATGATTTATTATTAGCATTCTCATGAAACCTGCCTGATGTGAACCATGCTTCAAACAAAAGAGCTCTCAGAAGAAGTAAGATTAAGAATTGTTGACTTACATGAAGCTGGAAAGTCCAGCTGAGTGTGTTCTACAAAAAAGCCTCAAGAACCATTAAGGTCCATCTAGAAATGTTTTCTGCCATTTTGAAAAACACATTTTTAAAATCTTCTCCTAGACCGTAGGTCTGAATGCCACCAAATTTTCACTGGCTTATCATTGGACCAAGCTGATCAAAAGTTATCCAAAGCTTGTCGGTATCTCACTTAGTTTTCAAAATATTGACCAATGAACTTCAAAAGGGGAGTGGTTCTGGAATTAAATGGACATAAATCAGCAACCATTTGGCCAACCATCACAGATCTACTACGAGGTGGCACTAAAAATGCAAGAAATGGGCGTGGAATAACACAAAATAGACTATATAATCAGATGTTAAGAACTATAAATGCAAAAATGCAAAAAAACTGTATGACATAAGGCAAATCAGGCTACAAATTAGATAATGTTTGCCCGATCAAGACAAATTTCCAGGATATGTCCACATAAGGACCTCACGCATACACTGAAAGTTTCTTTCAAATCAACCACAAGGGAGCACTACAAATGCGAGAAATGGCGTGGCATAACACAAATCCTACTATTAATCACAAATAGTGTGACCAGTCATAACAAATCTCCCAGGATTTTAACAGGAGGCTCATGGAGCTTGTGATTGACGAGCAGATCTGCCACAAAAGGATGACAACAGAATGAATTTGTAACTGCATGACAGTTTAAAACGATGCAGTGTATAATTAACTTACATTTTGCAATTTTGATTTGAAAACGATTAATCGTTCAGCCCTAGTTGGTACATCGCACCATATTCCTGAAATAAGTCATTCTGACATGGCCTTTTATAGCACACATATGAGACTGAGCCAGGAATTACAAAGCGGTCACCATCACCATGGCAACCTTTGATTTCAGGGGGATCACACAGCTGATCGAGATGAGCTAATTAGGTCAATTTGACACACAACCAGGCAGGCCTCACACTTCACACATCTTCACAGTGGTGGTATGTAATGTACGTTTACTCAAGTACTGTACAATTTAAAGGTACTTGAGTATTTCCCGTTTATGCTACTTTGTACATCTACTCCACTACATTTTGGGGTCAAATATTGTACTTTTTACTCAACTACATTTATTTGACAACAATAGTTACTAGTTATTTTTGTAGATTTAGATCATGAATACAAAATATAAATCAATCATAATATTATGGATTATGGTACCCAGCAGTATATATAGTACTTAAATGTAGCCCCATCTTTAGCACCTGCAACATTAGTGATGCTAATACACTAATGCATTACTAACTATAATCCACTGATATTTATTATTGTGAAATGAGCCATTCTGCATAAGGACTTTTACTCGAGCTATGAATCATTCAAATGAATTATTTTTCTAATCGTTCGTGCAATATAAGGGCTATTCAAATCATGGACCTTTAAACTATATATATATATATAGGAAACACAATGTAGGCAGGCACACACACACAAAAACACTGTCATTTTGGTTTCCATCCATTTCTGTTTTCTGTTCTGTTTTTTTATAAAAGCCCCATAGACTGGCTGTGTCTTAACAAGAACCTCAGGATGATGCTTCATGCTTGTTTATCAAAATAAAAGTTCCAGGAACAGGAAACTTGGGATGACCTACTTTGTAAAAATAAAAGCCTCAGATCAGATCAGTATCTTAACTGGAAGTTAGAATAGAATCTAAAGCAACTGCAGTTGCCTTCCACAGGATGATTGAGAATGTTCACAGATATATTTTCAATGTTTTTAGCAGTACAGACCAAAGGTCCATTCAATTCCATTGTGTTGGGGTGGAAGCATATAAAAAACCTGGACACAAAAAAAATTGTCTGCACGGATCAATATCAAACAGGCTGAGCTTGAAAATATGTTGTGATCTTGTGATTCCATTTCAGTGGGAACTTTTTCCCCAAAGTGCTCCTAAAGCAGGGCAACTTTTTGAGCAATCTTGCTGGGCAATCTTGCTGGTGGCAAGTCCGACTATGTTTTGAACGGATAGTGGTGGTGCGGGGAGGGTGGCAGAGTGGTGGGAGAAGGGGATTACAGTAGTGATCTTTACTCATTACCATTGACAGTAACATTGCCCAGCACCATTGCTCTAAAAGTTGCTCCGTGTATCATCAGCTTAAGTCTCTGAGTTAGTTTTTCTTATCTTATTCACTTTTATTACTGTGCTTTTAGTCATGATGAATAATACATTGCCCATGCTTCAGTGGGCTACATGATATCAGTCTCACCTGCCCTGGTGTCGTCGGTGTCCAGCAGGGGAATGTAGTCCGTCTTTCCCACAGTTTCCCCCACCTGATCATCGAAGGCCTCCGCTTCCAGCTGAGCCACAAAGTCCCTTTCCACTAGGCTCTCCGGGCCTGGCTGGGGAACGCTGTCTGTCAGTGCATCGCTCAGACTCAGGTCTAACTCTGCCATGGCTACGCGCACACACACACACACACACACACACACACACACACAGAGGAATAAACAAGAGAACATGTCATCACCTATATATATACAGATTTATTAAATAAATAGAAAATAAAGAACAACTTGTATGATTTTCATCTTTTTAGATTTAGATTTTTTAAGAAAAAAAAATCAAATACATATTTTGTACTGATTATCTTTAAGGCAATTCCACAGAGAGCTAGATGCATGCCTGATATAGCTGAATTATTATTTATGTGCAATATGGCAGACGACCATATCATTATACCGAGATATTTGTGTGTGTATTTTTGTAATGTATTTATGCTTTAAAAACAGGTGGCGTTAACATGCAGGTGACTCGTTCTCATCTGTAAGGACCAATGGACCCCATAGAGTAATTTGTTGTGTGACATTGTGTAACTTAATCTGAACTTATTTTGAAACATGCCTCTCCTCCGACCAAGCCAACAAAGATTATTTTGATGAACTATATGACCTGAATTCTGACTTTTAAAAATTGAAGGAAGGCAAATAGTAAACATCACAAAGAGGCGGTCTTGTCTTTTGCACACAAGAAAGTGTCCTCTAAGTCGTGTTCCCAGCTATCAGCCCAAGCCTGAGCTTTAGGTCACCAGTTTTCAGTGTTCAGCCAGCTAATCATCCAGCATGCTAGCCTTCAGCCCATACTGCGGCAGAACAAAGAAACATACACAGATACGCACCCTCATACACACACACACACACACACTCCTTGTGTTCTTTAGCTTAATGCATTTAGTTAGATTGTATATTGTGTGTTTTGCTTTTGATTAGCTTTTTAATAAATGCATGTGTATATTAAGTATATGCTTGTGAACCTGCTGAACTCCAAATCCTTGAACCTACTAGCTAGGTAATTTTGGTTGTAGTTACTAATGTAATTATTAATCAGAGTTCCATATTAATAATTAATTTGTTAAATGTAAATGGTCTGTACTTGTTTAGCGCCTTTCCAGTCTTCTGGTGGTGCCCCAGGAAGTTTATTGCTTAAATATTGCTTAAAGTTATTATTTATTATTATATTTGATCATCGTGATAACCACAATTTAAGTGATTGCTCCTACACAATGGGGTGCCCCTTTAAACCAGGTTTAGAGACTGACCAATATTATCGGCCCGGGCTCAACAATAAAGGTGGCCCGATGACCCAGGGCAAATAAAAAGTAAAGTTGGGACAGTTGAACTAGCTCATTGGCCCAATCGGGCCAGTGCAAAAACATTAGTATTTTTAAAAAAATTAATTAGAAACTCAACATCCTGCAGTTGTTTTGCAGCTCTTGGCGCGCACTGTTGTCCGATCCAGAGTTGTAGTTATGTGGCGAGTGCCTGTCAAATGTTATTTCTCTAATCTCAGCGGCAACCTCTGGGTCTGAAAGTGAAACCATGTAGACGGAACTTAAACCTGCATTCTCTCTAACAGACAACAGGGGGCAGGACCACTGGTTGCAAAAAGAAGTCCAGTTCCATTAGAAATAATGGTAAAATGTTGCTACTTCTCAGCTGAATTATTACCTCAGTAAACACTTTCCTAATGAATTTATGCTCGCAGTCGCTAGTTTCAAGTATTCTTCAACACAACATGATGTTTTTTTAGTAAATTATGTCCTATTTAGGGGCAAATAGACGATAATGCAGCATATGCTTTTGGGCGGGACTACCTTGTGATTGACAGGTTGCTACCAAGTCAACTACCATGGCACCATTGCTACCATGGCAACAAGTCAATCAAGATAGAGGCGACTAGTATCCGCTGCTCTGTGTCCATTTTTTTTTATTAAATGGCTGTCAGTAGGAGAGAGAGCACATCATGTTTGAGTTGGTTAGCATGTTTTGTTTTAAAAGTAAATTGTTTTGTTAACCTTTTTAATTTTTTTTTTTTTTTTAACTGTGATTACATTTTAGTGGAGGGCCAGTAAAAACTGTCTTCGGTGGGGCCAGCTGCAGTTTAACGTTGAGCCCTGTCGGCGTGGCAACACCTGTTGGAATGCTACAAATCCACAACAGAACACAGCAATCAGCTGCATTTATGTTCAAAGTACTATTTATTACAATAAAAAAAGTTTATTTTTAAACTGCATTTTGTCATGTTTTCTTGATAAGGTCTCATAACTACACATAGCAAATGTTAGGGATAATCTTTGCGCTATCCATTTTTGAAAAGAAGAAAAAGAAAAAAATATGGGCCAACTGTGGAAACTTCACACTGGAATTCAAGCAACTTGGATTTTGTCCTCTCGTCTTCTAGACTCTATGACCTTGATTTCCAAATGAAAAGCAAAAATTTATTTTCATCTGATAAGAGGACTATAGACCACTGAGCAACAGTCCAGTTCAGTTTGCTGTCTCATCATAGCCCAGGTAAAGGCTTGTGCAGACTACACGATTTTCAGCGTCGGCCGATGGCTGTGCCGTTCACACTACACAACTTGCCATCTTGTGACAGGAGTCTTGAAGTCAAGGCGTTCACAATATGTGACTGATCGGTGACAGGGGGTCACACACTACACGAGCTGACAGCGACTCTGTCACCCGATGCTGGTCTCCAAACTACGTTTTGTCAAGAAAACAAATGACGCGAACCTACACATGAAACAGCTGTTCTTTGTTATTATAAAGATACCAATTATAAAGACAAAAAAATCTGTGTGAAAGAATGGATTAGCACACTCAGGTAAATGCTCCGTATTTGTATAGTTCGACCACTCAAAGCGCTTTTACACTACATCTGCATTCACCATTCATACACACATTCATTCACTGAGTCTAAGTGCTCAAACAGAAACTAACATTCACACACTGGCAGAACAGCCACCAGGGGCAATTCGGGGTTCAGTATCTTGCCCAAGGACACTTCGACACGCAGCCTGGAGGAGCCGGGGATTGAACCACCGACCTTTCTGATTAATGGACAACCCGCTCTACCTCCTGAGCCACAGCCGCCAAAGCTGGGATTGTCTGTGCTACAGAGAGAGCTGGAAGTGAGTAAAAAGTGTTTTGTGGTGAAAAGCTGCCGACTCAGCCAGATATTTGAGTAGTTCACACATAACGACTGGCGACCACCGATCGACCGCTGACTTACCCCCGATCATAGCCTGACGGATGCCGAGCTCGCCGAGCAGCAAATCTGGCTAAAAATCGTGTAGTGTGAACTAGGCTTAAGACGCTTCTGACGTTGTCTCTAATTCAGGAGTTGCTTGACAATGGGAAAGTGACACTTGTAGCTCATTTCCTGGACACATCTGTGCCTGGTGGCTCTTGATGCTCTGACTCCAGCCTCAGTCCACTCTGGGAAGCTCCCCCAAGTTCATGAATCTGCTTTGTTTGACAATCCTCTCAAGGCTGCCGTCATCCCTGTTGCTTGTGCACCTTTTCCTTCCACACTTTAACCTTCCACTCAACTTTCCATAAATATGCTTTGATCAAGCTCTCTGTAAAACAGTCAGCCCTTTCAGCAGTGACCTTCTGTGGCTTACCCTCCTGGTGGGAGGTGTCAATGAGTGTCTACTGGGCAACTGTCAAGTCAGAAATCTTCCATAAGATTGTGTTTGTGTGTACTGAACCAGACTGAGATTAAAGGCTCTCCTCGGGTCGATGTTTCTGTATTTTACATTCTTTATTCTAATATTTTTAGATTTTGGATTTGTAAAAGATGAAAAAGATTTGAGATGCACTATGAAAATGTCAATAATTAGTGTCAAGCCAACACTGTTCAACTGAAGTTGTCTGTGGAAACACTTCAAACATAATTCATGACGTTTGATCATGTGAATGTGTCGATTAGCTGAACAAGACAAAAACAGACTGGAAGGAGAGTCCTTCTCTGCACAGCATTCACGCATCCTCTCACTGAAGATTCAGACTGTACCAAAGCAATAACTAATGCTATTGGAGTGTTTATTGCTGCAGATATGCAACCTCACTTGGTCATACATACATACATACATACAAGAATTTAAGCATATGGTCAAAGTGCCTGAGCCATGCTGTAATATCCCTTAAATTGTGCAGGTTAGTCAGTCTGCTGTGCCTGCCCTGTATAAACAAGGTCAAGCTGCAAATGTTCAGGAATTATAAACAGGTCTGAGTGTTTCAATGGAGCATTTCTGACATTTGTGTTATTTATTTTTTCTTATTGACAAATATGCAGTATTTGAGTGCATTATCTGTTACAGTAAGAATTATGTGCAACTGTTGAATGTTTACATTTTTCAAAATCATTGACAAAAAATGTATTTTCTGTTTTTTTTTACTGAAAACATACGTTACCATGACCCCATAACAGAGGTAAATACCGAACTATGAAGTTTGTGTACCGTTACTCTCTCTCTCTCTCTCTCTCTCTCTCTCTGTGTTTTGCTCAAATTTAAATTAGCTTTATTGGCATGAATGTATAGCAACAATATTGCCAAAGCTACATATAAAGTACATAAGGACAATTAATTTCATACATTTCATTAGATAAGGAAATAAAACAGCAAAAGTTGTTTTTGTGTGTGTTAAAACAAAATAAAATAATAAAAAAATATAAAAATATAAAAATTCTGTAAAAATATTTTAAAAAAATGTAAATAAGTAAAATGAAATATTATATTAAATTAAAATAAATAAAACAGTATGTGTTAAATATATATATATGTTAAAAATTAAAATAAACTAACTCTCTCTCTCTCGCTGCACACAATGACATCAGAAAAACTAAATTAAAGTCTATTGCATCATAGTGCCTATGAAGTCTTAAATCTGACAAGCACTATGAACAAAATGACAAAATTGATTTGTTTTTGGTGATAAGGAGAAAATCAGATGTTAACTGTACTAGGCTGCAGGTTTGTGTCCTGAGGTGCCATCAAAGTAGCCACTGGAGCATTGACCACGGGACCTGGAAATAAGCCTGTGATGCCATTCATCCTGCTGAGGGGCCCCTGAGAAACACAGCGAATGTCTGTCAGCTGCAAGGTCCAAA